TTTCTCTGGAATAAAATACCATACTGCATTCTTAAAGCTAAATTGGGGCAGCATATTTTAAATGATATATTACATTATTACATAATTCTTAGTAATAAAAATATGAGATCTGAAATTTAAAATTCATCATTATGGTAGAACTGTAGTTAAGGAAATTGCCATGAAGGTAAACCAAATCAAGACAGCAAGACAAAGAAGCCTTAGTTTGGGGTTGAGGCTTTAATTTGTAATTGGAAGTTAAAGACAGAACACAATTATTACTGAGAAGATATCAAAAAAAAAGTTCTTTACAGAAAATAAACACATAAACTTTCAGATCCAAAATTATCATCACTATGAAAAAATAGACCACCACAGCCCACAGTGGAGACCACAGGAAGCCACAGTCCCTCAGAGGCAATCACAGAAGAGGGAGGAGTGGAGACTTCAGGAAACTGTTGTCCACCTAGAATTATATAGTGGCTAAACTGCCAGCCATGTGTGTGGGAGGGGGATAAAAGGTTTTCACACCTGCAGTTTCTTTACTGGTCTGAGGGTTCATGTGGAGGATGGGCCTTGCCAGGACTCTAAGACAAGGAAGGAAGAGGGTTTTCCTTATTTGATTATAGAAACAGCTTTCAGCCAATACAAGGCAGAAGAAGACACTGTCAGGATGGTTGTAGTGGAAGCCCCTACTTAATAGTCTATGGCAGCCGATAAAGGCTGGAGTGAAAGGATGGGGGAACTCCAGAGCTCATGTCCTCAGGGGAAAATCGCACCACGTAGAGAACTACTAATAGCTTCACTCTGGAAAATTCTGTTTCCTTTTTCCTTTCTTTCCACAGATATTTTGGAGATCTGGGAAAGGACTGAAAAAAAAAATCCAAGCCAAAACAACAAGGTCATCATGACAGGAAAGGAATTATACTCATCATAAACTACTTGGGTCAGCATTATATTAACAAAAATACTGGTGTTGAGACCTGACACCATGCATTGAGAGTTTGGAAATGGGAAATAAGGCTAAAAACAACAACAGCAACAACAAAAAAAGAGGATCCATGACCCAGAAAAAAAAATGTTAATTATTACTATCGAAAATGGTCCATGACTTGAAAAACACTAATGGTCCTAATATTTGGGAATAGGAAGGCAAATACCAGAAAGCAGGGAAGAAGATACTAAAAATGAATTACCTCGGAGTAGGGGAGGGGAGTATAGGGGAAATTTGAGAATAGTCAAAGTCATAAGGTTCGCATGTAACGTTGTCTCATCTTTCTTAGGTATTATTCAGCATTTTGATTTTTATAATTAAACAACAGAAAGAAGTGAAACAGCATGGCTTAGCCTAAGGCCTTAGGGAACTACAAATGAAAGTGTTTCCCTCCTTTTCAGCTGTTATTGAAAATGCGACATCCAGAACTTTCTTTCTGAGTCTCCATTTTACCTCGTGGATTCAACCATCTGCTATGACAAAAGGAGATGTCTCTATATAATTTTTTGAAGACTGAGCCCCCAAGGTTTGGGCAGCATTAAGCTTTCATGTAAAAGACTTCATTAGAAAGACATCTTTTTATACTGAATTTTTTTTAATTAAAAAGGAACTAACTATTAACCCATGCACCAAAACATAATATTAACAAGGTCAATATTCAAGACCTCTATTTTTTAGAAAGAAAACTTAAATGACTCAATTTTTATTCTAAATATTGAGTCTTCTTCCATGTGCCCAATCACATTAATTTCATATTTAAAAAAAAAACCAGAAAAACGTTGTGGTGTTTTGAATGTGGTTGGCCCCCATATGTTCATAAGGAATGGCACTATTAGGAGGTGTAGATTTTTTTAGAGTAGGAATAATCTTGTTGAAAGAAATGTCATTCTGAAAGTGGATTTTGAGGTCTCATATATGCTCAAGCCAAGCCCAGTGCTCCAGACCTCTTCCTGTTGCTTGTGGATCCTCAGCTAGCATACTGTCTTGCTTCTTGCCATGATGATAATAGACTAAACCTCTGAACTGTTAGTGTTACACCCCAATAAAATGTTTTTCTTTATAATAGTTACCATGGACATGGTGTCTCTTCACATCAACAAAAACCCTAACTAAAACACACATATTGAAATGATTTATATGAGACCAATAGTTACAGGTTTGGGGTATTTACTTATCCTGAGAATGTAGTAACACTTGGATCAATCTCTGAGTGTATCTGATAACCAGGAAGATACTAGGCCGAGAACTGAATTTTAACCAGAAACCAGGAACATGTTTCCCCTTTAAAATAGAGGTTCTCAACCTTCTTAATGCTATGACATTACAGTTCTATGATAATACAGTTCTTCATGTTGTGGTGACCCCTAACCATAAAATTATTTTCACTGCTACTTCATATCTACAATTTTGCTGCATTATGAATTATAAAGTAGAACTTCTTTTCTGATGGGTGCCAATCCCTGTGAAATATTCATCTGACATCCAAAGGGGGTTATGACCCAGATGTTGAGAACTGCCTCATTGTTTTTGTTGCTTTTCCTTCCTCTGGGATATATAAATTGTCACATTAGTAACATATAGTTGATCTATAAGAGTAAAATATTTGTATTCCTCTGTTTTAGTAACTTGCCATTTTCTTTTTTTCTTCAGAAAATCAGTATTTATAGTCCTTTAGTGTCCCATGACTTTCCATATTCCTCTAAGATGACTATTAAACATTCTATCTCTCCAAGACAAGTTTTTTTTCCTGTCACTTTGGTGGAATAAAAGCACTCAAGCCTCAGGGTTTTAGACTGATACCCAGGCAGGGCAAAAGCAACCGTGCAATATCTCTTGAGTTCAAGAAGTATCTGACTTCGATGTAAAAAAAAAAAATTACAAAAGAAAACTGTAATGAGTGAAAGCATCATTTCCTCATCATATGTAGGGAAAATACCTATAACACAAAAGGTTTTTTAATGGGGTACTTAGGGCAGGTTTCCATTCTTTGCTTTCATGAAATGTTCTGTAGTCTGTATACATGCAAGCTAGTCTCACGCAATATATATCCTGAGCTGCCAATACAGTTAAGAAGTAACATTAAAATTTTTTCCAAAAAAGTGACCCAGTACAAGGAACAAGAAAATTTAATTCTAGTAAACAGTAGAAACAGGGCTAGGGCTAAAACATTTCATGAATGTTGTTTAACCAAAAGTTGCTTCTTGGTTAGAAGAAACCTCTAATTAAATCTACCTAAACAATTATTTTAACAAATCCTGCTCTTTGGCTGCTCATATTTAGTAAATGCATATGCATTCACCCAGCACACGAAATCAAAGGCTGAGAAGAGTTTGATCTATTGACCAAGTTCCCATCCAATAGACGTCTAGACCCTGTTTATGGTACATCTTGCACATACTAAGTCCGTCTATGTTTTCTGTCTTTCCCATTGCTTTGTCCATTGAACAGAATTGTAATCCAGCTGAATTTCCCACTGGAATTACTATACTTCGATGTTCTACCTCTCCCAGCTTAACAATCTGTCTTGACTAGAATAAATCTCAAGTTTATCTCTTTAGATAGATTTCATGGCCTTCTGTGAATGATCACACACACACACACACACACACACACACACACGCACACACCTGCCATGTATATTCTTACATTTATCTCTGTTTACGCAGCTGTGTTGAATGTCCACGCACTTATCCACTTTCTGAAAAGTTGTCTTTGCAGTGAATCTTTAAGTTGGTTCTTGCATCATTTGACTACCTTCCATCCAACTATGAGCCCTTGATTCCTAATCCAACGATTTAAAAGTTCTAACCTCTTGGTCCATAAGTTTGAGTTCTGGGTTTGTTCTCACTTGCAAGCAGGTGATAGGTAGAAGACGATAATTTTAGAAAAATCACTGATTTGAAAATGAGAAAATGTTATCTATTGTTTATGAACAGTAAGAAAAACTCAGTCACCCATCTCAGTTGCTTGCTTTGGGGCAGCTAACAGAACGCTACTGTGAGTTCTAAAATTTGCAGTGGTCTCAATATTTTATAAAATCAAATCACACAAACTATTTCTATACCTGTAGTTCAAAATCAATTGATTGAATTTTAATTGATTAGTGATCTTAAGTTCTTTAGTGATCTTTAGTACTATTTCATTTCACTTTCAAAACAACTCTATGAGGGCAAACCCAACTCCCTCAAGGCTCCTATTTTGAATGACATTGAGCCTTGGACCTCACATATGTTAAGCAATTGTCCTCATCTGTGTTCTGTGCTCCTTTTTTTAAAATTCGAGACAGAGTCTTGCTAATTTGACCAGGATAGTCTTGAACTCTCTGTCATCTAGGCAGGCCTGAACTTGCCATTCTCTTTCCTCAGCCTCCAGAAAAGCCAGGATTATTGGGCATGCTATCAGGCTTGTCTAAAACCAATTCAGAAGTATGTAATCTATTAATTGCCCCATTTACATACCATAAGCTTGAAATTTTCTTAATATATTAAGATTTTTGGAATGGCAATTCTTTTTGCAGATAGTTTTAAAACATAAGAAGCTCAGTGAAGATTGCTTATAGGAATATACCAGTGTGAAAATTGATTTACCACATCGTCTTCTTTAAGTCAGAAAATCTATGTTAAAAGAAATTGTGACCAGTTATAACAGACAGGGATTTAGAAAAAAAAGTTGTCATGGTTTAAAAAAAAAACAAGAAAACTGCTTTTGGATAATCATTTTAAGAATTAACTTCTAATAACCAATAAAAAAGAACAAACATTTTAGTCTACCTATAGCTGATAGTTACAGTATCCTGTGCTTGGGATGGCATTATACAGTTTATAATATAACCTGCATACTTACTATTTAATTACCTCCTTAAGACAGATCTATCTGTGGCTTTCTTAAGTACAGATGCAGAATCTAAGAGATTTAATGAATGACAGGGACAGAGTCTCATTCTTAAGTTTCTAATTCCATTGTGGGGTTCTACTCAAACCCCCACCATGCTCACTAACCCAGAAGGTCATTCTCAGTGTATACTTACATTTCAGCACTCCTTGGATTTCATAAACAGGCTTGAGAATCACAGTTCCATGAAAGTCTTCAGGGAATGGATTGGGCGAGTCCCACTTATTTGAGAAATTTGTAAGTTTCACAGTTCGTGTTCTGTTCTTAGGAATCTTCCATTCAACAATTTCTTTTAGGGTATAAATGTGTTCATCCTCACACTCATAGAACTCTCCTTCTTGTGACAATGGCAAAGTGAATGAATGACTCTGATGATTCCTTACCACACCGCAATTCACCAGTACTTCTCCGTCAATCTCTTCAATTGAGTTGAGCCTTATTGGCTCACCCTGCTTTATGATAAGATTCTCTACTTTTATATCCTTCAGGTGATAAAAGCAAGGATGTCCTCGTCTACTAGGTCCAATATGAATGGTTCTTGTGATTTCTTCCACTGTAAGGTACGGAGTTTTATCCGCCATGACCTTAAATAGACCTAAGAAGAGAATCGTGTGATTAGAGTTATTACAAGGAAAGTTGTCATAAGAAAATCATGATGATAAAGTCATAAGTCAAGCATAGTATAACATTTAAATATTAGGTGCGTATTTTATGAATATGTGTATGGACATGGGTAGACCGAAGGGCATGCACATGTGTGTGGAAGCCAAACGATCACCTCTGTATCACTGTCCTTGAGACAAGGTCTCTTTTTTGGCATGGAGCTTACCAAATAGGCTCTCTGATGAGGACCAGGGTCCATCTCCATTTCCTTCTATCTGGATTCTAGGCTCCTGGCCCAGCTCTCTTACCTAGAATCTCAGGGTAGAACGCAGCCCTCAAGCTTGCTATGCAAACATTTTACTGACTGCGCTATATCCTCAGTCCAAGATGCTTACTTGAATCTTAAACTCTTCTATTAAAAATGTCAACATATACTTTTTAGATTATTAAATAATCTGAACAGGAACAGAAATTAAAACAAAGGAAGTTTCTTGAAATACCAAATAACCTGTCCTCAGAAATAGGAAACCCGCTAAGATGTATGCTGTCTTAACTACCAATGTGATTTTAAGAAAGTCATTTAATCTCTCAACATTTTTCTAATTTTTTAAAAAAGAGAAGATTTGATTAGTTTTTTCCATGAATATATTCTCCTTTAGACGCACCAAATTAAAAAGTGAAATACATTTCCCAGAGGGAAACAGATTCAGTCAGATTTTGATTGAAAAGCTGTACAGCTGGAACTAGAGGATGAATGTACTAAATGTAACTGAACCATATGCTTTAAAATACATTTCATGTTGTGTATACTTTACCATAATGAAAAATAATTGCATCATTATAATTAATGTAAGAGTTCTTTGCTACTTTGGAAGCACTACGACTCTCTAAAGAGAAATTTGACATGTAGAATGTCAAATTTTTCTTTCCTTGTAAAATTCTCAGAGGAAAACACACATTAATAAATCATAATGTAATGGATCACAGTATATGAGCACTCCCCAAAAGGCTTCATGGAATTATGCCTGCTTAGGTTGTTGCTTGGACTGACTTTGTGCATGTGTATATAGATGAGTGTGAGTATTCATGTTTGATCTCAAAGGTATGCCCACCTATATGTGATGGTGTGTGTGCATGTGTGCCCATGTCTGGGGAAAGACAGGAATTGACAGAGGGTGACATCCTCAATGCCCTGCACTTTATTTATTCATGCCGGTTCTGTCACATGAAACCAGAGCTCACTGATCATTTAGCCTAACTAGCCAGCTTGTTCCACACATCCCTTGAATTTGCCTCGCAAGTACTGGGATGGGAGATGGACACTTTGCCTGCCTGACTTTTTACTTGCTTATAGGGATTTTAAGGTTCCCGTAATATGGAAATTCCTGGGAATCTCCTCTGTCTTAGTTATGACTTTATTGCTATGAAGAGACAATATGACCACAGTAACTCTTATAAGTAGCATTTAATTGGGCTGGCTTACAGTTCAGAGATTTAGTCCATTGTTGTCATTGTGGTCAGCATGGTGGGATATAGAAAAACATGGTACTAAAAAGGTAAAAAATTGAATCTCATGTTTGTATGGCAAGCATTTTTTCCACTGAGGCATCTGACCATCCCTCAGGACTGAATATCTTAAATGTATCATTCTTCCTTTGTATTATTTCTCTATTTTTAAAAACTAAAATATATCTAGAAGCTCATGGAACAGGTTTATTTATGTTTTAGATATATGGATGCCATGAGCCACAGAAGAATTATTTAGAGTCCTCTTTCTTAAAGAGTAGAGTTCATCTAAGGTGATAGCAGACCTAAAGTATCAAGGATTAGAAGGAACCTGATCCCCATTGGCAACTATTGTATCAGGGAAATCACTGTCCTTATTCCATTTTATTGGGTGCCTTATCGCAAGAAGTTGTATCTATGAATTCGTATATTTTCTCCTAGGAGGTGACATAGAACACAACTTAATATACCAAATGGTAAGATGCAAGGAAACGATCTGATTAACTTAGCTCTTCTTCCACTATTGCAACTAGTCCAAAGCGGCCCTCCTAATGAGTAGCCACTGGTATCATGTCAAATGGCGCAGGTTTGCTTGTGCTGAGTATGACGTCACAATTGCAAATCCAGTTTACCGTGTCAGAAGCTGAATGTAAAATTAAACACCATCAAGACTGATCTCTTGTGGATTTCATCACTTCGAACCATCTTTATCCACAAAGAATATAAGAATTTGAAATAGAGAAAACAAAACAAAACCTGACTCCTAGTTAAACTTGCTGTTCCTGCCTACCTACTTGTCTAAACTACTTGTCATGCTCTCTTTTTTAGGTATATTTTTCAAATTGTGGGGAACAATCCTGGTCTTCAGTAGCGGGGGCATCTTTTTATAGAAAGGTGGCCACACACTTGTCTACTGCAACCATGGTCTCCTTTAAGCTCCATTTCTGTAGTGAACTATTTAGAAAAAAAAAAGTTGAGCAGCTCTCTCGAACAGTTCCTTTGATACCTCACCACTCACGATGTTTAGGGATATGATTCCAATAACTTCACAGTTGGTGTTTCCTTTCTGGACACGCTTTTTCCTAATAATGTGTGTTAGTCTTTGTTCACATTTATTTATTTTGTGTGCATGTGCGTGTGTGTGACACACAGGCCGCGAGAAGCATATGAAAGTCAGAGGCTAGATTGCAGGGTTGGGCTTTTACCTTTTTACCAGGTAGGTCTCGGAGACTGTTTGGTGCCAAGCGCCTTTCCCTCTTAAACTATTTTGTTCGCTCCCACCATTATTCATATATTAGGAGAAAAAAATCCTATAGAATGAACACGTCACTTGAGAAAAAAATTGTAAGGAAAATGAAACAAATTGAAGTGTTGGAGTTAGTGAATAGGTGAACATATTCTCTAAGGCCTTTTATTTTACATTTTGAGGGAGTTCTAACTTGCAATTTTTATTATATTTAAATGCACATATTTGTATGGGAGAGCCCAGGCCATGGCCTGTGTGAGAAGTTCACAGGGCATCTTTGAGGAGTCAGTTCTTTCCTTCTATGATATCTGTCCTATCAATCAAAAGTCAGAAAGTCAGATCCATCAGACTCGCCAGCAATTGCCTTGACCCTCTGAGCATCTTGTCAGTCCATAACCAATACTCGATAATGTTCAAAACACTAAGCAGTGAGACATTTTTAGAAATATACAAGTCTGAATAATTTCTTCATATGCATTGTTTTTCTTGACAATTATCTTTTTAGAGCAGTAAAACAAACATCACTACTGGGAAACATGGAAAAAGGTCACAATTTTCACAGCCTAATCATGACTCTAAAAATCTCTAATCAGAGCTGGGACATCCAAATTCCTCCTCTCTTCAGCAAGCCAATCTGTCTCCCTGTTATACATATGACTTACAAGGACACTCTTCACAAGAACGATGTGTTTATTCTGAGCAAGAGGATGTGTTTGTCTGCAGCTCTCCAAGGTGGCCTTCGCTTTGCCCAAACTAGTCAGTCTCCCCCAATCCCAGAAAGAAGGGATCACTTATTGTTAGTTCTCTGTGCATGGTTTATTCTCTTCAGATAATTTTCTGCCTTTTTCTCTTTTCTGTAATCAATTTTAAAGTTATGTTTCCTCAAAATATATCAGAGCATAACTTTGAATCCACCATATAAAATCGTTTAGAAGATTGCTGAGTTTTTTACTTTAGTCTAGCCTTCAAGCTTCTTTCCCAATTTCAACCAAATCTAGTTCCTTCATCTCTAACATAAATAATTTTGAAATAAAATTTAGCTATTTTTCTCATCTTCTTCTCATAGCAACAATATTAGAGTTTTTAACTTATTAACAGTTCACCATGGGCAGCAATTTGCATGCATGATACGATTTTATTTTCGAAATAGCAACATGAAATAGCTTACATTAATAAAACATGAACATTTCACAAATAAAGATGTGAACTTTTGAATAAATTTTCCCTTATCACAAACTCATAGAAACACATTAGGGTCTGGTCTTTCAAAAGTACAAAGGCTTAATCACACTTATGCATTTCAATTTTACTTCATTATTACAAATCATCAGCTGCCTAGCTTTTCATAAGTTGACACAGGTGGTTTCCACATAGGTACTGATCTTCCTTTTGGGCGTAGAAAGATATAGAATTTTCAAAATTAGGCAAGAGAAGGAAAGGAAAATCACTGATCTTTAGGACATTGTCTGGTACTAATCCCTGGTATCTGGTGGTACTCTGCCTCTGACGCAGCCTTGTGTAGGGGAGGTACTAGGGACTCTACCAAGCAGATGAGGTGGAAGCACTGCCCAATCAAGTTTATGTACATTAGTGTGCTGTAGGTCACCAGACATATTGAAGCAGATTTGTAAAATATGTGATTATAGGTTTCAAATATAGGGATCCTCATGAAATAGGCGAACACTTTATACATGCCCTATAAGAAACCATGGACTGGAAACATTACTATTACAAACACATGGGAACATAGCTAAACAGGACAAAGTTAGCCTTTCTTCTCCCACCTAAGTTTTCCCTCAACCACATGATGGGGTATAACAATAATATTCCAGCCTAATAAAACAGGAAAATAGGATGAACCTTCCTTAATACTTCAAAGTTAACAAATATAAATGTATATTCACTGTTACTATAAAAAACTTTTATCACTGTGATACAAGTAAAATCTAATATATACAAACAGAAGCAAGTAAACTTTGTATAAAATCATATATAATATAAATGTATATGTATATATGTGTGTGTGTGCATTTGTGTGTGATGCTTGAATTCTTTAAAGGAACGATGCCTGTGAAGGAGCTGGCTGGGAGATAGATTTTCCAGTTGTAGATTTCTGTGAATCTTGTCTTAAAGCAGAAGCTTCCGCGCATAATCTGGTTTGATTTGCAATCAAATTCCTAAGCATCCTTGTTATTCAGTATTTGTCTATAAGACCTCTCACTTCACATGGTTCTTCTTGC